AGAGGAGAAGGAGAAGGAGAATGATTTGTGCTTCGATCTGTACAACCCTAGCGGTCGCAAACTCGAAAGTGCTGCGATCGCTTCTGCTTATTCCACTGCAGTCCGAAGTTGGGCTAGACAAACTAAGGTCCTGCGGTAAAAAGAATTTCGATTCCGCATAGTAGCAGGCACGGGCTCGAACTTTTGGAGTATGGGCCAATCCGGCCCGTAACAGGTGCCTGCAAACTTGATCAGTATGTTCAAACTCACGGCCCGACCCTGCCCAAACCAATAATACTAGAAGTAATAAAATAGCTTAATGTTTTGAACCATTATTAGAAATTTAATATAATAAAAATTTGAAGCCTTAATTATGTTGTTGAGAATAAAATAAATTTGTTTCTCAAAAAATTAGAAGCCTTAATTATGTTTAAGAACTATTTTCAAATTAAACAATTTGCAAGAATGTCTTACACAAAAATGTTATACAGAGACCAAAAACAATGTTCACTTATTTTACAGGGATTAAAAATATATTTAACCCTGTAATTTTTTTTTTTCAACATCTTTTAAAATATTTTGAAAAAGTTAAACAACAAAGTCTATTTTTTAAAAAATAAGGAGTGGTGTTTAAGACTAAGATCTCAAAAGTAACTCCAAAACTCAATTCAGGTGCAAGGTGAAACACCTAAAGACAGAGAGGAGAGCATTTTGGCCCCGAAAAGGCCAACTCGAGGTACATGTCTTATGTAAGACCCATTTTACTTCTCTTTTCTAGTAGGCATTTAAGTGAGACTAATGTTTGATCTCATAGTATTGGATGAACACAAAAAATGAGACTGGCCCCTCTAAGTTTGGACCGTCTCAACTCATTTCATCGCCCTTTTCATCTATTTGTTCAAATAGATGGAACTTTAAAATGGAACCTTGCATTGAAGATGAAAGTTTCATTTTTAAAAAAAATTCAACATGAAATTTTTTTTCATGTTAATGGATCAGGCAATCGGATCAATCAGTTCGGTTCTGATTCAGATCTTTGCGGTTTAGTTCTCTTTTGGATATATGTTATAATCAGTTCGGGTTAGTTCAATTTGATTTGATTTTTTCCTTATCACGGTTCAGTTTCAATTCAATTTCAATTTGGTTATGATCGGTTTTGGATAGATATCAGTTCAGGTTTATATATTTATACCAATTTGGATTTATATCGATTCAGGATTATACCTGTTTCAGATGACATTCATTGGTATTAAAGGTCCTACTGTTATCCTTATGTGTAGCCTCTCCTCCACATGTGAAAAGGGAGGGTATATATACAATTGTCACCAATAATGGGCAAGTATATTCATCAATGCCTGTAACGATGTCACTAAAAATTGTATATATATTCAGTATAAAAACTGACAACCATCTCAGTTTAAGTGATGAAATATAGAGTAAAAGATTTGTATATGAAATCAATTGTATCTATAATTTAAATATGCTTTTCATAGAAAAGCATCAACTAATGAGTTATTAGGTTTGACAAGACTTGAGTTAATTTATTTCGAACTTCATCAATCTCAGGTCTAAGCAGTTTCGAGTCTTATCGGTTGCGAGTTAAACCGGGTCGAGTTTAATTAGATTTGGATTTGAATCAGGACCGAGTACATTCGATTCGGTTTCGGTTTAGTTTGAATCATTTATGGTGTTTGGTTATAGTTCAGTTTTTCAATTTTCGAGGCATTTCAGGTTTGATTCCAGGTTATTTGATTCAGGTTGACGGGTCCGGGAGAATACCCAATCAAAATAGACAGGAAAATGGAAGACAAAACAACAATGATCCGCACTATAACACGCTCAACGTCGGCCTACATGTGTGTGTCAGACATCGCCTTCGCATTTAATGTGTTGTACGAATGTCATGATGGGTAGTTGGGCCCGAACTGATCGGAATGAGCGAGGATGACTATTAGTTTGTCCTTTGCCTTGCCTCTCGGAGAGCCTTTTGTTATTTAAGTATACCTTGAGGATAACTCGATCATGTCGATGGTCGGGACATTATCCTTCTCGGTGCTCGCCATGACGCCATCCATTGGGAGGTGATGTAAATGGTGCATGCCTAATGTATGGTTGACCTTTATCCCAACAATGTATTAATACTTTGATTATTAAAATATTATGTATGTGGTCTTCTAAATTTAAAAATTATGTCAAAATCAATCGTGTAACTTAAAATATTATTTACCACATATAATATTCAAAGGACTTATAATAGAAAAGTTTTATAAAGTTGAAGACCACAAATACAATATTTTAAAACTGAAACTATATATTAAAAATCTTGTTATCAAAAGACCACCTATCAACTTATTTATGATGCGTTTGAGAATTTCAATTTGAATTTGAAATCTGAATTATCTAAATTATTTGACTGGGAACTCGTCGAAATTGGATATAAATATGAACCAAATTCTCCTATTCAAAACGCAAATTTACACTCCTCGTATGTCATTTACAAATTCAATCAACTTTTTTAAATTTATAACTTACACTTAAAAGGTGAAATCTTTTTATATAAGGATAATTTCATACATATCAAGCTATTTCGATCGCCATCTTTGTAAAAAAATTTCATTGAATTATGAAATTTCCAATATTAGAATTAAAAGGTTAGATATGATTTTGAAATGTAAGTTCACAAACATTACCTTATACTACAATAGTTGTGTTCTTATCAAGGTCTAGGTCTTGTGGAGTCATAGCCAGAGGACTACAGCAGCCGAGCATCTCAGAAGAACACTACTAGGTCTTTCACCATCTCCGCCAAGCTCTCTCCCTTTCATGGCTTCCTCCACCTACGCCACCAAGCTCTCCACTTTTCTATCCCCACCACTCGGGAAAGTCTCCAAAACCCCACCAAAACCATGCCGCCGCCTCCTGCCCCTCGCCGCCGCACGAAAACCTACAGCGATGGCGGCGGCGGCGTCGTCGAAGAGTCCCAAATCCGAGAGTACCGAAAATTGCTTCGCGTCCTATTTTGATTACGACGACGAACGCTCGAACGACCATCCCAGGGAAGAGTGCGGCGTCGTGGGAATCTACGGCGACCCTGAGGCCTCCCGCCTCTGCTATCTGGCTCTCCACGCTCTGCAACACCGCGGGCAGGAAGGAGCCGGCATCGTCGCCGTCCACGACAACATTCTCCAGCACATCACCGGCGTCGGATTGGTCTCGGACGTGTTCACCGAATCCGAACTCGACAAGCTTCCCGGCGAAATTGCCATCGGACACGTCAGGTACTCCACCGCCGGCTCCTCCATGCTTAAAAACGTCCAGCCCTTTGTCGCCAGCTGTAGGTTCGGCTCCGTCGGGGTCGCCCACAATGGCAATTTGGTAAATTACGAATCCCTGCGTGCAACCCTAGAGGAAAACGGGTCAATTTTCAATACATCTTCAGATACAGAGGTGATTCTTCATCTCATTGCCATATCAAAGGCGAGGCCTTTCATTCTTAGGATTGTAGAAGCCTGTGAGAAGCTCGAGGGAGCTTATTCTTTGGTGTTTGTAACTGAGGATAAACTCGTGGCGGTCCGGGACCCGTTCGGGTTCCGGCCATTGGTGATGGGTAGGAGGAGGAACGGGGCGGTTGTTTTCGCCTCCGAAACGTGCGCCCTGGACCTCATCGAAGCCACATTCGAGCGGGAGATTTATCCCGGCGAAGTCGTGGTTGTGGACAATGAAGGGGTTCATTCCCTTTGCTTGATGACTCACCCTAAGTCTTCGCAATCATGCATCTTTGAGCACATTTACTTCTCCCTACCGAACTCGGTGGTGTTCGGGAGATCGGTGTACGAATCCAGGAAAAAATTTGGGGAGATTCTTGCCATCGAGTCCCCCGTTGAATGTGATGTGGTGATCGCGGTCCCCGATTCGGGAGTCGTGGCCGCACTGGGCTACGCTGCTCAATCGGGGGTCCCGTTCCAACAAGGGCTAATAAGGTCGCATTATGTGGGCCGGACGTTCATCGAGCCCTCACAAAAGATTAGGGATTTCGGGGTGAAGCTCAAGCTCTCGCCGGTGAGAGCGGTGTTAGACGGGAAGAGAGTCGTCGTGGTGGACGATTCCATTGTGAGGGGGACCACTTCGTCGAAGATTGTTAGGTTGTTGAAGGAGGCAGGGGCCAAGGAGGTCCACATGAGGATTGCTAGCCCTCCGATCATAGCATCTTGTTACTATGGGGTGGACACGCCTAGCTCGGAGGAGTTGATATCGAACCGGATGAGCGTGGAGGAGATTCGGGCGTTTATCGGGTCGGACTCACTCGCATTCCTGTCGATCGATAGCTTGAAGACGTATTTGGGGACAGACGCTCCGAACTTCTGCTACGCGTGCTTCTCCGGGAAGTACCCCGTCCTCCCGACGGGGAAGGTGAAGAGGGTTGGGGATTTCATGGATGATGGGTTGAGTGGAAACATGGGCTCTATTGGTGGAGGCTGGTTACACAACATTGGTTCTGAATGAGAACCAACTATTATTATTATTGTTCTTATCATTATCATCAACTCATATAATTCCAAAGAAGGCTAGGGATTGTTTGTTTTTCTTATATAACTTATGCCTGAGTTGGAACCAATTTTGATTTTAGTTTGCAACTGCTGTTTGAGCTATTCTTGACATGGTCCTTGTTTTGTTAATTCTGGTTTGTTTTACATGCTCCAAGTGGTTTTAGGGCCTGGTTTGTGTTACATACTCCTTGTGATTATACTCTTACTATAACTTTGTATACCATCCAAACATGGTGTACATACAATGCCAGTAGCTTGTTGTTCCATGTCCAGGCAATACTATCCAGATGCATTTGTTCTATTCAAATTCAGTTGATCAAAACAAATAAACAGTGCTAATCTGCTTTTGAAAGGGATGTTTTTGCCAATTCACCAATAATGTGTTCTTAAATATAATTAGCAAGCGACGAATTTTGAACATCCCAAGAGGAAAAAAAAAGAGGACAACCAAATGCTCATGGGAGTGTTTTATAACTGGAAAACACTACTTTAATACCAAGGATAACACCACAATCAAAATTGACACCATCAGAGACAATCACACGTGTGACATTCATTACTTGTGAAATACTAGCGGTGTCAACTTTGATATTTGTGGTGGTACTCAGACATGATTTGTAACATGATCTTGACATTGGATCTTGGGTGGGGTGGGGGCATGGATTAAAGGGGTGAGATTGAATTTTTGTACAAATTTGTTCATGATAAACTCCTCATAACAATGTCACAATAACGCCAAGTCCATTATTTCACATACCGGAGATTGCAGGATCAAGTCATCATCATACAAAACAAATGCCAGTAGAAAGTGAGCAGAAATTTTCAAGCATAGAGATCTATTCCCCAGAACTTTGCTGGTTGATTGGTCCTGTAGTTTCTGTCCAAGCTCTTGATCGCTTCCATGTCCTCTTCGTTGAGCTCAAACTCAAAAACACCGATATTCTCTTCAAGCCTTGCAAGCTTTGACGACTTTGGTATCACAACGGTGTTTCTCTGGATTCCCCAGCGCAGCACAACCTGAGCCACCGTCCTCTTATGCTTCTCTGCTATGCCCTTTTGTACATACAATCAAAACATAAATGCCATATCGGTGAAACATTGGTAGCTTGTTTATAACCTTTTTTTAGGAAGAAGACAGTAATATCAATGTAAATTTATTTTTTATGGGAATTTTTTTTGGTATGGAGGGAGAAATATTCAAGAAAGATGGTTTACTTGAAGAACAGGATCTTCAAGGCATGAAACTGAACCGAACAATTCATTGTTTGCCGCAGCACCACTGAGAGGTGTGTGGGCTGTAACACAGATTCCGTGCTTTTGACAGAATTTGATGAGCGAATCGCGCTGGAAGTAGGGATGCGTCTCGATTTGATTCACAGCAGGCTTCACCTTTGAATAAGCTAAGCAATCCCGTGTGAGGAAAATGTCATAGTTGCTGCACACATTGATTGTCATTACATATATGATCAAATTGGATGCAAGTTTATCATCAGCAAAATTGTAGTGATATTTCCACCCATTAAGTGAATAACCCTTACTCATGGGCACTAATTCTTCCATGTAGTCCCAAGAGAATTATTACCTGATTCCTATGCTGCGAACCAGGCCCTTGGAAACAAGTTCTTCCATGGCATGCCAAGTAGACTCCAATGATATAGTGGTGTCGATTTCCAAAACTCCATCCTCCCCAATTGCACTTGAGGTTGTACCAACTCCTGCAAACAAACCAAAAGTGGGACGCTAGACATCATTAAAACCAATGCCACTCAACATTTGAAATACTCTGAGAGGGAAACTGGGCAATAGTTCATGCCTTTCATGCAACAATTTGATGTTTTAAGAATAGATTCTAGTAATAACAATTGCAGACATTCACCTGTATGTTTTGTGGCAATTGGGAAGTGAACAAGGTAGAGATCCAGATAATCTAGACGTAGCTTGTTCAAACTGTCTTTACAAGCCTCGAGAACATGACCGTGGTCCGAGTTCCACAGCTGGATAAAAGAATCACTTAGAACCATCAAAACAACAGGACTATGCAGAACGAACAACAGCAACAAAAACAAAGCCAGTAGAATCCCACAAAGGGTCTGCGAAGGGTGTGTCTATGCAAACCTCACCCATTCTTGAAAGTAGAGACGGTTTCCAAGAGACCCCTTCCTCAACACATATGCAAGAAGCACACATACCGAAACTAGCACTAGACCCCAACGCACACTTGCACATGTTACAAACTTAGACAATTAGGCAAAAACTACAAACTATGTCCAAAGTTCTACCCAACTATTCTAATCGTAGCTCTTCACACACTCATATCTAAGATCAGATCTTCAGACCTCGATGAGGTCCAAAAATCACAAGTCCTGTCTTTTCACCTGCGCCCAACTCTTTTTAGGTGTACCTCTACCCCTAGTCCCATACTCACGGCCACTACCGCAAGCCTCTCGTATATCCTAACAAGGAAAAACAAAATTATCAAACAAATCTTTTGGTTTATGAAATGTTTGTACCAACCTTGGTTGTGACAAAAAGATCTTCCCTCTTAACAATGCCCGTCTGAAGAGCCTCCTCGAGTGCCTCCCCTACCTCAGCTTCATTCTTGTAGTCAGCTGCAAGCAATTCAAAGCAGCCAGATGGTAGTCAAAGATAGTAAGCCCAACATTAAGCCCTCTTCTAAAAGAGCCATAGCCTATCTATAGCACTAGACTATCATCAACTCCAAACATTCATCTTCTAATTCATCTTCCTCACTTTGAAATGGTAAGTCCGACCGTTCGGTACAGGCCGATCTCTCAAATTCCAGCTCAATACAACAAATTAGACATGCAATTAGCCACGCAGTTTTGAAATCGATTCAATGTAAGTTATGAAAAATGCTGGTTAGGTTATTAGAATGGCAAAATAGAAATCACAGATACGGGGAAAATGGAGGGAGGGTGGGGATTTGCCTGCGCAGTCGAAGTGACGATAGCCGAGCTTGATCGCATTGGAGATCAGGTCTTTGATGTCTTTCCCTTCCATGCGCCAAACGCCGAGGCCTACCACCGGCATTTTGAAGCCGCTGTTCAGAGTTATCGCCGCCATTTCTTCGAATCCCGTTGCTGCTGCTTTGCTCCCTCCGCTGCGTAGTGCGATCCTTCCTGCTCGCTTGTGTTGACCGTGTAGGACTGGAAAAGAGGTAAGCCTTATTTCTACCACTAATTTTTTACAAGTGTCAATTACTGAGTTTTTGAAAATTAAGTTTTCGATAACTTGAAAATATGTATTCACTTAATCGAAAATAAATATTCAATTACTCAAAAATAAATAGTTACCATGGATGCTTAGGAAATACCGTACCACCGTTTGTATAATATATATTGTGATCAAAGTACGAGTATACATTCTTTTATACTCCCTTACTCCGGTAACTATTTTCCTATCTTCCAAAATAATCTTTCCATTTTCATAAATGGAAATTACTTAAGTAAATATAAGTATATGTCTTTTTTGCTTTTAAGTGTCTTTCTACCATTCTACCCTTCTTTTCTCTCTCCCTCCCTCACCCCTTCTCACATTCTTCTTTTTTCTTCGCCACACCCCTTCGTCTTTTTCTCTGACCCCTCTTCTCTGTGTTCCTCTTCTGTGTCACACCTCCTCCCCCGCCTCGTCTTTTTCTTCTTTTTTGTCAAGGAATCAATTTAACCAAAATTCAAGCTTGTGGTTGTAGTCTACGAAAGGTTTTTTATACTCTAACGCGCCTCCTCACGTAAATGCATAGCCTTTTCGAGCATTACACGTGAAACTTTATTTTATTTTTAACTGGGTGGCGCTGAATTTCGAACTCGTAATCTGTTAGTCAACAAGGCTCTGATACCATGTGAATGAGCTTATTTAACCAAAAGTTCAAGCTTGTGCCTTGTGCTGCCCAGGAAATGCTTTTTATATTCTAACACTTTTCATCACCACCACCACCACCATAACTAACTATTTAAAGTTACTGACTCTTTACAACCATGCAACTACCAGCTTCATAGAGATGGAGAAAAAAATTGTCAATTTGAAAAAAATTGTCAATTTAAAACATAAAAAGTGGAGAGTGTCTATTATGACAGCCTTTTCAGTTTGTGTTTTTGTCATTTAGAAAGCCAGGAATTATAAGGTTCACAAGAGAAAGAGAAGCTAGAGAACTATGCTCGAAGGAGAGTATGTGCAATGAATCAAAATACACTAATATTTACATTAATCATTGAATAGCTAGTAGTAAACAAATGAGTTTTTACTTTAACAGTTGAGTGTTGTGTCATTGATGTATTCTGGTAGAAATTTGGTGAAAATATATTTTTGCTAGTAGTTCCAGAATAAAATAATGAACAAAATTTAAAAAAAAAAGAAGAAGAAGAAGAATACTGAAGGATATACTGCGACCTAAGGATATACTGCGGCACAACTACAGTCCTCCGCTCTACCAACTGAGCTAAGGTCGGCAAGTGGTTAAGGACGTGGCTTTGTGATCGTAAAACGATGAAAAAGTGATTGAACAAAAATGGGGTGAGAGAGGCTCGAACTCTCGACCTCAGGATTTCTCAGAAGCTATGAGACCTACGCGCTAGCCAACTGCGCCACCACCCCTTTGCCGTTATGATATAACGTTTAATGATAAAGACTGGCGATAACTCCCAAAGTTCCCCATTAATCCAATTTAGAGTTTAGACCATGTCTTATGGGAAGACTTGACGGGATTTGATAATGTGTAAAAGGATCTAATATTAGGTAATATAGAATAATAAAAAATGTGTGTTACAATAAGTGTGAACAGAAGTGATGAGGTGCAAATATGTATTATATTTTTGATTGATTAAAATATATACTCTCTGCATTCGAAAATATTTTTCTCATTTTCTTCTTATGGTATACTTTTTAAGGATAAATTTCAATAATACTCCTGTACTTTATCATCAATCTACTTTTTTTAATAAGAAAATGAGATTTAAATGTTTATAATTTGTGCGTTTTTGGGAATTTGACAATCTTTTTACTATTACTTAATAACTGTGTCAAGTCAACACGGAAAAAACATTCCCAGACAGAGAAAGTATAATTTAAAAAGAACAAAAAAAAATCATGTAGGGAGAAGCCATCACTACGTGACGGTGGTCACGTTAATTGGGGCAAAGCCCCTTCACGATGCATATGTAAGGGATGTCAGGCGTGATGGATGGTGATCAAATCCCTTCTCATCACACACTATAACACACGATCTTAAAAAGTTAACATATTTGTTTGACTCTAATTTATGAGAGCTTATATAACCTTTTTGTGTAAGATGGCATCCCTTATGTTCTAGAACATCTTTCTCATATTAATTTAGAAGGTTTGAATAAACGTGTTTAGTTTGTTTGATTATAAATGTAAAACTTAAAAATAAAATGTACATATAAAACCATATTAAAAATTTTATAAAATAAAAAGAAAATTGACTATACTATTTTTTGAGTAAGTTACATTCTCTCGAATTCTTAAATAAGATTTGTGATTTCGGAGTACCAAATCAGAGCTAACTTTGGGGGTAGATGACCTGGCCTAACAATTAGAGGAGCTCCCGCGAACTAGTTTCGCTTCCTCTGCGCTGATGTCTTCTCCGGCGAGCACGAGCAGCAACGGGTGGCAAGGCTGCGTCCATTCTCCCAGTGGCATCCATACCCATTCCATCTTCTCGGCAATTGTCGTTCCTCAATTAGCCGGTTGTACAAAAAATCTGGTAGAACTGGCCGTGTAATATAATATGCAATATTGCACTATATGGTTTATTTCTATTCTTCAATAATGACACTAAAATAATTTCATAACATGAATACGAATATCTCTTACATTCAGTTACATGCATCAAATGCACCCTAAACAAATCAAACCGCTCAAATTTCTATTTTTGACTAACATTCTAAACCCCTAAAGACGAGAGATGTGAATAAGAATTATTAGAACAACCTTCACAAGGGGCTTTTACGCACTCACATGACTTGCGGGAACAAAATATTATGTCCTGCTTAAAAGTATCGTTCTAATTTCATTTGATTTTTTTTCGTTTTCTTTGACGTATCACAATTTATGAGAAAAATATCAATTGTAACATTAAAAATCTTTTAAAATCAATTTAGAAAATGCTAAAAAGAATCACGAAAGTGACGATAATTTGAAAGGGAAGAATGGAATAATTGTGTAGGCGTGTATAATAATGTATGTATGTATTTAAAGGCATTATCGTGTCGCAGTGCGTAATTGGAGCACCATTTTCTATTGTCTGTGGCAGTGGCGTGAATGCATCTCTATATGTTTATTATTATTATATTATTATGATGCCATGCCGGGCTGATCAATCAACAATCATGATCACACATTTGCATCTCACTCATTCCCCACTTCATATAATTTTAATATATAAAAAAATTGTTGACTTGTGGTGTCAATTTTTTTTCAATTTTGACCAGAAACTCAATAAAATTTCGAGGACAACCAAGAACGATCAATTTGATCGAGTTCTGATTTTTCATATCAAGCAGATTCAGGCGTGGGCATCGATGGTGATTAGATAACGGCTAATCGAGTTTTTGAATGAGATCAATGTTCGGAAATTTTAAACCACAAAATAGTTTTAAAGAAAGGGATACTAATCATGTACTGAGGAACTAACATTGATTAGACATTTCGATTGTGTAATGGTACGACTTTAATCATTGAAGAGTTGTGAAAAAAATTATGTTATAATTGTAGTATCATGAAACAATGTCGGGGGAAAATTTTACATACCGCGAGAGGCTTTGGTACTGTCCGATCCTATATCTACTTTCCTCGCCAAATGAATCCTTATATTTATCTCGAATTTTATTTATGGAAACCACGAGTCCACGATGTAATTTATAATGTTTTGTTCCACTCGATATTAATGAAAACAAAAACAATTTCAGTTTTTAAACATATATACTCAATCAATGATGGCATAAAATATTGAGATAAAAAATGTTTTCCGTTTGAAGAAAACTAAATTAATCTTTTCTTTTTTTTTCAAGGAAAAAACTGTTTTTTTATAAGATTCCCCTAGGCACGGATGATCGAATTTGAGTAGCTAGATGCGTGCAAACAAGGATTCAGGCCAAACCTGAGCCGAACTTAATATAAATTATTAGCTCATTTATATGGGTGAGGCTTACCCATACATGCCACCTTCGCAGGCCGAGCTATCTACCTGGCCCCTTGGTCCGGAAAAAATATTACTCCCTCGTCCCCCAGTTTTTGTCCACTTTTGACTTTTAGAACTGTTCATCTAAACACTTTGACTCATCAAATTCTCTCAATGTGTAAGCCTAAATATAGTCATGTGTGATCTTGTTTGATTTGTCTTAACATATAGATTATTAATATATAATTTTTTAATATACAAATTACAAGATAAAATGGATTAAAGAAGTGCATTGAATGGTGTGTAAAAATGAAAGTGGACAAATACTCTGGGACGGAAGGAGTAAGAAAATATATTTTGCATAAAAACATTAAGAAAAACATTGCACTCTTTTTCAACGTTTAAGATAAAATTACCAATCACCGCACTTACATAGAAAGTATAATCGATGTATTGTTGCAAAATTAATAAACTCATCACATCGATTCATTAAAAAACTATTGATTTTTGATCAAGAGGAGTGAGTGAATTGAGGCATTATTCATGAATTATAGAAAATTTTAAAATTTACATAGACTAGATAATTAAAAATAATGTAATGGTATGTTTGGGAACATGGATTTGGATTTCAAATTCGGATTTTGGCTCAAATTCCTTGTTTGGGAAGCTTAAAAATTTTGAATTTGGATTTGAGTCAAATTCTTACCATTCATAACAAAACTTAATTTAAAATCCATGCACCCCCTTGTCATTTGAAATTCAAGATTTCAAGTTTTGGAATTGATGTACATGAATTGAAATGAAATGCTACTTGCCAAACACTACCTAAATGTATTTGATGAAAATGGGCGGACATGTTGGCCCGGACTGGCTAAACGTAACTTCTAGATTGGCTCATATACAATTCGAGCTCGAGCCGGCCCGTCCACGTAGAAATTAAAAGTTGCTCATAACCGCCTTTTTTAAAGAGTGGGCTGGGCGGGCCGGACAGGCCGGCCCTTGTTTGCACATGTATAAATTTAAGATACACCGTATATACATTTATATACTCCATATTTTTTTCAAGTTAATAATTTAACTGCCTTAAAG